TCTTCTTGCACCGAACTCCGATTCACCCGAAACTTGGACCAAAATTCTTGTCTTTGAATGCTCTTCCTCCGAGTACGGTTTGGTCGGGATTTCCAGATTGGATGGCTTGGTTGGCTCGGACGGCTCGTCTCCTCGTGCGCGATGAAATGGACCTAATCACACCAAAAACAAAGAGACGACGCGCAAAGATATGAACAAGCTATACAAGAGCAAGAATATACAAAACATGACAAAATGGACCGGTCAAGCCTAAAAACGGACCTAAAAACCACAAAATAAAATACATAAAACACAAGAAAATAAGGACAAAAACACAACAAACACTCGGACGGAGACGAGATCACTTCGGATTCGAAGGTGAATCCTTCTCAACCGGGGAGGATGATGGAGACGAGATCGCCCTCGCGTTCCTCGATAAATATATGATCGACTTCGAATTTAATTTATTTATTTCTTGGCATTATTCTTCCTTTGATTTATTTCCTTAGGTAATTAATTATTGAGGGTAAATAAATATCTTGCAGCTTGTTAGGCAATAAATGCTAGGTCTAGTAGGACTCTATATATTATCTTTCAAAGCATTGAACGACGCTGGTTGAGTTTTGAAAATTTTATCTGATATTGAGAGTTCTTCATGAGAGAGTATCTCATATTCCTCGTTCTTATTCACGTACTACATCACTTGATCGTCTGATTTTCTACGTCGGGACCACTCTCGGCGCTATTTTGCAAGTCTTTGAACCAGTCGAGGGAGGTCCGAGGTCATTCGAGCCGGTTGAATCGTTTGCACACCAATTTCAAATTATAAAAAAAAAATAATAATAATTTTAACTTGAATAAAAAATACCAAATTTATTATTAACATTAAAATAATATACAAAACATTCCTTTTAAACTAAGTGACATTTTATAATATTTATTGATAATTTTTCAACTTTACCCTCACGTATTTAGAAATCAAAGTAATATTTATATTGTAATAAGGTATGAGTAATGGAATAGTGGAAGAAGTATATTTGTGTATATTATTTATAAATAATGTTTTTAAAATTTGTTTAACTTTTCATGTTCATCAATTCTAAGCAGAAAATTTAAAATAACAACTATTTATAGCATACCAAATACACACACACACACGTATATATATAAATATTATATATCATAAAAATAAAAGCCTACCCCAACTTGTTTGGGACTAAAAGGCTTTGTTGTTGTTGTTGTATATCATAAAAATAAAATAATAGATAAACATTAATATTATTATTCAAAACTATTTTAATATTAGTCAGAATTTCTCATTACTTTAATTTATACGATATATTATTATTGTATTTACATCGCAACGAGTATCTACTAGTTCTTATACTATGTATAGGTTTGAATCGAGTATAGTGGAAGAAAAGAATTTTTTTTTTAATCAAACGATATGATATCTCATTTCATTCAAAAAAAAAAAAATACAAGCCCAAGAAACAAGGCCGAAACCCCAACCTAATACAATGAGAGGCATGCTTTCAACCAGCAGCCTAAATTTGAGCAACAATACTCAGACATCATACATAGGAATCAAAGGCAGAAACTGAAAACTGAAAAAGGCAAGGAAAAAATTAAAGCCTTGAAAATCCTAGTAGCTTCTCCTCACAGAACTGCCCATCATTCTCTGTTAGCTTGAAAATCCTGCCATTCACTGCATATTGCAGTAATATTTGCTTAAAAAAACTAAAGCCTTTAGATACCTCCAAATTGAAAAAGAAAAATTATGTGTTTTTTTTTTTTATTTTAACAGAACAGCACCCCAAAAGGAGGGTGGGGGTAAAGCTGGATGCCCAAACTGTATATAAGTAAGGCCCTAAATGGGCTGAGAAAAGGCACAGTCTACAAAAATAGTGTTCGAAATACATCAAGTCAAACGAAAACAAATAAGAAACAAGAAAAAAAGATACAAAACAACAAGGAACGCAAAAGATGCCAGGTCCTGGTCCGAGAAAGTCCGGCAAAAAGTCCGCACCACGGAAGGCCAAAGACATCAACACGTGTGGACCGCTATGCAAACTAGAATGAGGGATATCCCTTATGGTCCATCCATATAAGGATACGAAGGCAAATAGGGATATCGTCAGAATGGAGAATGCGCCTCTGGGTGGTGGTTGTCCAAATAATAGCATGGAAGTCAGCAGGTCGATTCCCCTCGCGGGAAATGTGCGAGATCTGATAGCGAATCGACTGAAGTGTAGCTCTGATACGCATGAGAGGGTGTTGAATCTTTCACGGGCTCTTATGGCCAGAGCTCAAGAGTGTGATGACAACAGCAGCGTCCAACTCTATCAAAATGTGAGAGGAGATCGAGGCGGCAATCGGCAGACCGATCTGAAGCGCCTGAACTTCCGTGTCATAGCTCGAGGAGGCCTGAAGAGGGGCATAGAAGGGGGTAATAAGAGCATCGCTATGGTCCCTGATCAGGCCCCCACCTCCAGCAGCTCCGGTAAATCGGTCAAATGAACCATCAGTGTTTAGGTTAACCCAAGGGGGCTAGGGTCTCAGCCAAACAACTGTTCTGGGCCGTGGTGTGCAGCATGTCCAGTCTCTCGGGGTGAGTCTACCCAGAGGGGTGAGGAGGGAAAGGTGTCAGTCAACCTGCAAAATAATGTGGAAACACAAAAAAGTAATATCCCTATACTTCGCATTATTTCTCTCTGTCCAGGTGAACAAAGGATCAAAGAAGGAATAAGGAAGCTCGCGTGTCTAATGTGTGTGCGTTGTGTCAAAAAACTGAGAAGCTCAAAGAAATTATTTGTGGTGGGAAGAGGTATATGAGTGTATCTGGTATAATGCTCTCACACTCTTCTCACAGTCTCACTCTCAAGAAATAAATGGGTGAAGGTCTCAGTCTGGAAATCGCCGGTCTCAGCATAACAGTTGCAACGAGAGGGGAACGAGAATCCTCTCGCCTGCATCACAGTGTCAATCGCAATATGGTGCAGAAGAAAGCGCCAAAAGAAAACAAAAATGGTCGGTGTAAGGTCGGTCCAGATGACCCCGAAGAGGTGCTTAGGCTGGTCACCCAGCCGTATATCTCCCCAAGCCGAGGTCGTAGAGAATGCACCCGAAAATGTAAATCTCCACCTCATATTGTCCAACCCACCCTCCGAGATGGCAATCTACTGGATCTGATCTATCTCCTGATCACTAAATTATGTGATTAACTATTTCGAACAGCTAGACAAATCAGGAGCAAGGAGCCACACCATGGCGAAAACAAAACATAATAAATGACCAAAATATAACTTTTACCCAATAAGTAAAGAAACAAGATCCTCACAAATGCATACACCAGTAACCAAAACCCAAGTCCTAAATATTCCGACTATACAGTGACAACGTGAAAAAGTTGCCTCTCAACTTAACAGTAATGTGAAAATTGCACATCTATAAAAATAATACATTCTTTAGTCTGAACAAGAAAGAAACTCATGCCCTGATCAACAGCTCATAAAGATTACTATTATTTTCGCCCGATACACGTTTCAACATCTCAAAACTCTTTCGGCTGCCCAGAAAATCGATCCTCTTAAACTCTAAATGACCAGTCTCCGCTGCCTCTTTGCTGGAGTAAGCGAATCTCAGCCGGTCAGCATGCCTCGAGTCTGTGTGGATCGCTATTTCAATTTCCTCGGCTGACATATTCTCCTGCTTCATTATAATCAATAAAGTACTATATAATGTAAGATATTATTGCATCATGGCTTTCTCGACTGAAAAATCTAGACAGGTAAAACCTTAAAATGAAGAAACTGGTCACATGGAACAATAAAATGAAAAATTACCCTTGCTGCTCGACTTAACTATTTTAAAGAAAAAGAAGCAAACTTGTGAAATTGTTATCAATGCCACCAAGATTTATATAACACACTACACAGTTGATATCTTGATATTAATACTGAACCAAACCTCAGTGCATTTGTAATTTTGCAACTTAATTGGTGTTTTTCTATCATATGGGGTAACTTTTGTGATTATATCCTTCATTTTGGCATGATAATTGGTATACACGACAAGAAAAAAGGGGTGTAGCATGAGAAATTGACAAGGCGGGGAGAATAAAACGTGCCTGATAAAATGCATAGATGTAATCCAACACTTGCAAACACGTAAACCCGTTATTGCTAAAGAATGTCCTCGAACAAGGGCCCATTTCCGAAAATCGGTCAACCGGGAACATGATGGTGAGAAAATGGCCTTTGAATATTAACTCAGATTTCTCACTGCAATTACATGCATATGAATTTGTGTTTATTAGTCTCAACAAGCCTTGTAGTAATAAATTATCTCGAATAATCTCTTTTTCTTTATCCTTTAATTTTGGTGTTTGTTTAAACGCAGAATAGCTAACCTTTCTGTAAGTGGGCGAGATAAGTTCACGAATGAAGTCTCAGATTCCTTTGAATCAAGGAACACTGATGTATGGTCTTCAGTGGCATTTTCTACACTTGAAGACTCTGTATAAATAGAAGCAGTCGAGGTCGGCTCAGAAATCGACCAGCAAATGGAGTCCAAAAGGGTGCCAGGGGTTATGGGACGTATTGGAGTTTGACACGTCTGCAAATCATAATGCCAAAGAAATCTAATATGTGACTTGATTTTGTTATTCAGTGAGAAAAAACCAGAATAAGGCATATATGAACAAAAGTTAACCTGCATTCGGCGATTTCTTCTCTTTCGGACTCCATCTTTAGCTAGGTTGACCTTCGTTTGCCTTTCTGCGTGACTAACTTCTGTTACGGGACTAGCTACATCTCTTGAACTAATTACTCTGTCAATTTCCTAAAAGGCCCAAAAAACAAGGAATTCCACGATTAAGAAATTGAATAAAATAAGGATGTCTAAAAAGAAAGTAAAAGGAAACTCGTGCAGGGTAAACACACCGTAGGCTACTTAACAAAATTGCAACACGTTTTTACTGTAACAAGCTGCTTAATAAATTCATTTTCATCGGTCAAATGTTAATGTACCAAGTATTGAGTATCAGAAAGAGAGGAGAGTGAACAATCTTTAAAGATAGAAAAAAGAGACATACCTCCTTGGAAACACCGTGCTGGAGAGTATCAAGCATTGCTCCAGTATACCGAGCCAAATCAGCTGATAAGTGGACAAGTCTTTGTAGAGTTTTTTCTTTAGCTGACTTTAGAACCCAATATGGCTGAGGAGAAAAAATGTCATCAAAAGAATATAGAAAAAGAAAGAAACTTAATACTACACACACAAGCACACATGCAAATGGTGTCGTGTCAGTTATCATTAGGTGGGATGATGAGGATACTAGAATCGGAGAGTCCTGTGAATTCACATGTGATAATAATAATAATAATAATCCCAACTGAAACATCTAACAATCATCTGCTTTAAGCAGTATCCATTCAGAACGATGTTTAAGCAGTATGAGGAAAAGCATGAAACGCTTTAAAACAAATAAGCAACAAGAAATTGCAGTGACCACTTACTGTGACAAGATTACTAGAATGCCCCAGATACTTTTGCACAGGAGGTCCTTCGCATACAACATGAGTAACATTGCAACCAACAAACCATTGGTCGACTAAGATAGCACCTTCAGCAGATATAGCCTCAGCAACCTAATAGCAAATATATATGACGTAAAGGACGGGGAAAAAAAGAAAACACAAACCAAAATCACAAATGCCACATTTATTTTAATGCGGAGAGTGGACTTTTATGTTGACACAATTTAATTATATTTTTTGGTGGCCATGGAAATTGATAAGTTATGGAGTTTCAAATCAAGTGTCGTGAACTAAACATCTTAATGACCTTAACGGTCATTTAAGAGATGTACAGTATATCATGCCTACCTTACTCCGGAGTTCGGCTGGGACATCTTTGTCAATATAAAACGATTGACCAGAAATGGAGGAAGAAACAATCTGTCTTTTACTTTCCCTTTCTGGAAACTGGGATACATAGGCATCGATCATGTGGGGTTGTTTTGTATGCTTATGCACACCAACAGGAAGAGAAGAATTCTCTGCAGCAAAGTTTTGATCAACCCGCTTCAAGACGTCACTAGGAATGCCGTTATCCACAATTTTATTCACATTGTAGAGTGCTTCTTCCAGCCTAACTGAAAATAGTACAAAAGTGCCTATAATCAACAAATTGGAGTGTGCATAAATCATATAACTAACAAGATCAAGTGCAATATCCATGCATGCTAAAATTGGTTGTCATTAAGTTGTCTTTAGCTACATGGAAGTGGCAGGGAACACCTGGCAAATCAATTTTTTAGTGAAAATATTTCCGAGAAAGTTCACTTAATAATACCATTGCATGTTTACTGACAAATAGAAATCCAATATTCGAAAATAAGAAGAACCAGTATGTTCTCACGTAATTGAAAAACACAAATGAAATCGTTACCATTTCTTCTCACGCTATCCACAAACCAGCCTATTGTTACCAGGAATAAACCATTTGTTGGACCGTGTTTCAGAGCATGCTCAAACTTACGCCCATGAAAGCTGTACAAAGTGTTAAGTGTTTCACAATTTCGGCGGGGCGTACTTTACCATATCACAATACAAGATACATTTACCGCTACATTCATCTGCTCACTTTGACAGAAACTAAAGCTGTTT